CTCCAGCGCACATCACTCTACATGTAACGTATGTGGACGCTTTAAGGAAAAGGGGCATCCTGACGAGTCGAACATTTTGAATTTTCGTGGTCCCAAGTAGTGTGTTGTCTAGTGGAGCGAGGCCCATCGTGGGGCTAAGGCAGCATCACACAACAAAATCTGAAATGCACATCGGTAGAGTCTACGGTCAGATGCATCTAGAAGAGCATTGGTGTGAATATGCCCTAAGAATTACTCCGGGGCACCACAAAACAACACCCCGCCGTACAATAAACASAAAAAATCATTTAAACAAATGTCATCATAACGACCTTTTATTGCCACGGGGCCTAGTTGCACTACTCTCCATAGGCCAAGTTTGGCGAGTAGGCCCCTGGTTGCACTTAGGGCCTCTCCACACCAATGTCAAAACATCACGAAATTGGACATATGGGCCTCGCCACACCACTTTTGAAACGGGGAAATTTTTCAAGAGCTGTCAGACGTTCTCAAGAGTTGGGTTTTCAAGAGTTTTGGGCCCCTCGCCACACAGCACTCTCGAAAGGGCGATGGTGTTGGACAAACGATGAAAAACAACAGTCGTACAACTTTTGGTTTTTTCCAAATGGCGTCAGGATAATGGCCTGACACCTCTCGAAAATCAAGGGCCCTTCGAGTGCCCTCGGGAGGACGCTTGAAAAGAGCGGTGCTGCAGGCTGGGCGTTTCGGAGTTTCGAGTGCAACTCTTGAAAGGAGGTTCTGACAACTGTCGGAAGAGTTTTTGGGCTACAACTCTCAAGTGGCTGCGTGGCGACGCTGTTGGGCGGCTGCCTAGCAGCCAAAGGTCCTTTTTTTTGGGAATCAAGGAATGTTGGGACTGTTTTTTTTCCCTCTGCGTGGTTTTTGATGTATGCGTGCGTGAGATTGTGCGGCTTATGGGCAATTTTGGACTTCCGGGTCCACACACTGACCCCTCGGTTGGCTGGAGTGACGTTTCAAACCTTGGACGCAAGCGGGCTCGGGCGGACCCCAACGGAACAGAGCTTCGACACCTAAGGCAAAAGGGGCAAGGATTGGTAGGCGACAAAAAAAAATCCAAATAAATAATTTTTAATTAGGGAAGTATTCTTCTTCTACTCCAATTCCCTCCTCCTTTTCCTTCCTAGGGAATTTCCTGTATTTAATTGTATTCAATTTACAAAAATTACGCTTACTTAAGATACACTCTCTTTCTTATTTTACATACACTCATGTCCCCTGTATATGTCTTTAGGCAAAACTGCTTGACCTCAAGGGTCCCCGAAAAATTCGGCAGCACTTCGCCTCCCCCCGTGGGGATGGGGTTCGGGGCTTCCGCCCCTAGCTCAACAACCCGAAAGGAAAGACGTCAGAATTTAAAAATACAATAAAACAAAATTTAATTAATCCTTTTTTTTTTTTTTTTTTAATATTCTCTTTAATTTAATTTTTCAAAAAGGAAAAAGCCGAAGAATTAAAAAGGCAAAATATTCTCTGTATATTATCCTTCCTCTTTGAGGTTGTTATCCGCCCCCAAACCCTGAATAAGACTTCCCCTAATTAGGGTTTATCTACTAGGGTTTTGGGGGCTTCGCGCGCAACCACACGCTCTCTTCCAAAACTCGTTCAGTCCCAAGATTTTCCCATCAACTTCACTCGAAATTTGCAAAAACTTTAATGGAACACTTTTTCTTAATCCCTTTTATGGTATTTTACACGAATTTTTAAAAGAAATTAAATATTTAATTCTTGTTTTACTTTTTTTTTCTTTGCTGTTACTCGCCGTTCTTGCCTCTAACCACCTCCGTTTGCCTCGTCCAAGGTATCAAAACGACGGGAAAAATAAACTGAGCAGGTTTGGTACAAGGAGCTATCTCAAGAAAATGTACCAATTTCCCGCAAAAATTAAAAAAGGAAACTGAAAATTCCAAATTAATAATTTGTTTATCGAAGAAAATTCGTTATCTCAAAATCTGACCGTTAGATTTCAGCAAGAAACGTCTCATAACGTTCCCCTCGTCAAGACGTCAAACTTTGTCCCCTGCGTTCTTTGCGAGAAAATGCGCAGATTGCGAGATATTTAAAAAAAAACTAATTCAAAAAAATATAAAAAACAGAACTAATCAAGAAAACGAACTAAATAGTATTTGGACTAATCAGCATGCGCACCCCCATTGATTGGGGAAGGCCGCGGCCTTGGGGGTGCTGCTCCCCTCGCCCCCAACGGTGCCAAAGTTGTGGGGAAACCCGGGGAGGGGTCGCCCGCAGTTTGCTGAAGCCAAGGGCAACGGCGCCTGTCACTCGCCGCGCCCACTTCCGAGGTCCTCAGCGACCAGCAGAGTTTAAGCTTTGATAGTACGGTTATGAACCCTGTTTCAACTTTCCCGTATTTTCAGCATCCCTACTAGCACATGCAATGCCAGCATTTGGAAGGTCAATCGTCCGACCAGCAAGCTCGACCAACAGCAAGTTAGACAACCAATGAGCTGTTTTGCATACTCGTGCCCCAGCAGGATTTGGTAACTCGATCGTCAGTTCAGGTAGTTCGTTCTGCAGTTAGAACAAAAAAAAACAACGGTCAGCAGCTCGCCCCATAGCGAGCTCGGGTGCTCAAATAACAGACCAGAAAAACTCCCCCAATGATAAGCTCGCGCAATCAGGCTTCAAGATCCCACAAACGGTTAGTTAAAATTTTCCTACACAGAGATTAACGAATTTGAGACGAGCTTCGTCAGCTCTCCGTTGGATTGGCTAGTCCAAACACTTGCAAATGCGACAATTGGGCAAAGTCGTGAGGCACCTGATTGTTCACACTCAACTGCAGAATGGACGAGTTCACGCCCCGTTAAGCATTGTTGTTCCCCTTGGAGAGGTCATACTGCCCTTTATTCCTCTCCCGTC